AGAAGAAAGGTTTAAGGAATGACGATCGTTTTTGTCTAGAGAAGAGAAAGGCCAGGCGTGGTGGCTCATGCCTGTAATCCCAGCACTTTGGGAGGCTGAGGTGGGTGGATCACAAGGTCAGGACATCAAGACTATCCTGGCTAACACGGTGAAACCCCGTCTCTACTAAAAATAAAAATAATTAAAAAAAAATTAGCCGGGTGTGGTGGCGGGCACCTGTAGTCCCAGCTACTCAGGAGGCTGAGGCAGGAGAATGGCGTGAACCAGGAGGCAGAGCTTGCAGTGAGCCAAGATCATGCCACTGCACTCCAGCCTGGGCGACAGAGTGAGACTCTATCTCAAAAAAAAAAAAAAAAAAAGTTAATTGACCAACTTGTTCAAGTCAGATGGCTGGTCTAATATGTGGCATATAGTAAGACTTAATACTTGTTTAATGAACAAAATAAAATTAAAAGAAGTTGTGTTGATAGAGGTCCTAGAAGTTCCTGGATGTTCTTGGTACCTACAGAAGGCACTTTACATTAAGGCGGGAGAGATTTTGATTGAATATAAGGAAAAGCTTCTTAATCAGCAGATTAAGAGAATATGGAGATGGTCCGAGACAATAAGGTCATCTCCCAGGGACCAGGAGAGGCTGGAAGAGAAGATGCAGCCTGTGTCCTGGTGAGTTTGGATGGTGCAGCCACCTAGAGGCTGGTCCAGGTCATCGTATGGGGTTCATTCTAACACCATCAGGCATGAATTGAGGGCAGAAGTCCTGGTAATGTTCAGAGAGTCAGAAAACATAAGGGACCTGACAGTCCAGCCCTCTCCATGTGCACATGGAGAAGCAGACACCTGTGTTGGTGAGGTGTTCCGACACCAGGGGGCTGCGCCAAGAGTGAGAGATGGGAGATCAGAGCAGTCGAGAAAAGGCACATTACCAGGAAGGTTCTGGAAATCCTAAACTGTAATGTCTTAAAAGCTATTTGGCTTCCTAGAACCCCATAATTGCTGTCACTGAGTCACTTTCTCCCAAACTATGCACCCTTTACACTGTCACTTCCTCTACCTACATAATCCTGAGAGTCCGTATTGAAAGACAAGGCACACAGGTCAGGGGTGGGGCAACCTGGCTTCACATCGCTCACCAGTTGTGTGACTCTAAGCATGGAAACATAATATTTTTGGATTTTATTTTCTTCAAATGCAAAATATGAGCAATAATGGTAACTACTTAATGAGATGGTTGTGTGGAACAAATAAGGCCTGTAATGGGCTTACCACATTGCCTGAGACACAGTATGAATAAGAAACGTTTGGGTATTATTATCAATCCAGCAACACATATCTGTTAAGTAGGTTATCCTGTGCTCATTAGACTGAGAGACATAGACCAAGATGTTCATGGCCAAAGTCAAGTAGAACATTAGGCAAGAATAAATCTTTATTAAGTACCTAACTCCACTTTGGGGTCCAAATGATCCATTCTAAAGTCACCATTCTCCTCTTTGCTTAGGATGGCTCAGTCTCCCTCAGTCTCAGCCCCACGGAGGTGGCACTTCTTAGGAGGAGACCCTGTGACTGAGCCCTGCATGACGACACACAATCACTGCTTTCTGTCTTTGAGTGACACTTGGTCTAATTTAGTACTCCAAAAACCTTTAATTAGTTGAGCACAATCCCTGCTCATCAGCCAAGCCACAGGCCCAGCCCAGGGAATGTGGGCTCCCCACTTGAAATGCCAGTAAGGCACAGAGAAGGGTGTAATGCTGGCTTCAAGCCACACTGCTCTACACACACCTCACAGTCGCAGTTCTCTGGGAGAGATTTCTTTCCTTGTTTTCATCCCTTTTTACACTGTCCAAACTCTCCTCTAGGCATCCAGGAACTAGCCAAAAGCTAGGAGGGTGGGATTAAATAGAGATCCCATATATTGCTTGCGTCAACATAAATGGATCTGGAAAAGCAATAAGCATCACCTTCCTCCGCATTTTTTTCTTTTAATTTTGATATAAATGTAGATTCACATGCAGTTATAAGAATTCACACAGAGAGCTCCTGATTCACATCTTGTATAACCATAGCACAATTTCACAGCCAGGAACAATCCACCAACTGTATTCACATTTCACCAGTTTTACATGCCCTCATGTGTGTGTGTGCGTGTGTGTACATGTAATTAGTTCCACATAAACATTGTTATAGCAAGGTACAGAACAGTTCCTCCCTCCCTCCTCCACTCCACCGCTGTCAACCACTAATCTGTCTTCCATCTCTATAATTTTGTCATTTCAAAAATGTTATGTAAATGGCATCATATAGTATATAATCCTTTGAGACTGGCTTTTGTCTCTCAGCAAAATTTCCTTGCAATCTATCCACATTGTTGGGCATATCAATAGTTCGTTCTTTTTTATTGCTGACTTATATTCCATGATATGGATGAATTAGTTTCTTTATCCCATTCACCCATTGAAGTACATTTGGGTTGTTTCCAATTTTTGACTATTAGAAGTAAAGCTGCTTTGAACAATTTGTATACAGGTTTTTGTAAGAACGTATGTTTTTATTTCTCTGGGATAAATGCCCAAGAGTACAATTGCTGGGTCACATGGTATGCACGTATTTAGTTTTGTAAGAAATTGTCATACTGTCTTCCAGAGTGGCTGTACCATTTTACACTCTCACCAGCAATGTCTGAGTGTTCTAGTCTCCAGTTCCTCACCAGCATTTGGTGTTGTCATATATATTTTTTTTTATTTTAACCATGCCAATAGGTGTGATATCTCATTGTGGTTTTAATTTGCATTTCCCTAGTGACTAATGACATTGAATATCTTTTCATGTGCTTATTTACCATCTGTATATCCTCTTCAGTGAAATGTATAATCATGTCTTATGACCATGTTCTAATTGGGTTGCTTGTTATTTTACTGTTTTGTTTTGAGAGTTCTTTATATATCCCAGATACAAGTCCTTTGTCACATATTTGGTTTGCAAATATTCTCCTCCCATATGTAGTCTTTTCATCTTCTTCACAGGGTCTTTTGAGGAGTAAACATTTTTAATTTTAACAGGGTCCAGTTCCTCACTGGATCATCTTTTTTTTTTTTTTTTTTTTTTTTGAGATGGATTTGCACTCTGTCGCCCAGGCTGGAGTGCAGTGGCTTGATCTCGGCTCACTGTAACCTCCACCTCCTGGGTTCAAGCGATTCTCCTGCCTCAGCCTCCCAAGTAGCTGGGACTTCAGGCATGCAAAACCACCGCTGGCTAATTTTTGTATTTTTAGTAGATATGGGGTTTCACCATGTTGGCCAGGCTGGTCTCGAACTCCTGACTGCAAGTGATCCGCCTGCCTCAGCGTCTCAAAGTGCTGGGATTACAGGCATGAGCCACTGTGCCCGGCCTTCATCATGCTTTTGGTGTCAACTCTAAGATCTCTTTGCCTCGGCCTAGATCCTGAAGATTTTTTCCGGTTTTTTTAAAGATGTTTATAGTTTTATGTCTTACATTTATGTCTGTGATCCATTTTGAGTTAATCTTATCTAAGGTATGAGGTTTAAATCAAGATTCAGTTTTTTTACATATGGATGTCTAATTGTTCCAGCACCATTTGAACAACCCCCTGTTGAAACGCAATCTGGCAATATTTATCATAATCCATAAGAACGTGCATAGCTTTTTTTCCTGTCACTTCTGGGAATTCATCCTAAAAAATAATGCAGGAACATTAAAAAAAAAAGCAATAAGCTTAGAAAATATTCACTATAACATTTTTTATGAAATTGAAAAATTGGAAGTAATCTAAATACCTAACAATAGGGGACTGGTTAAGTATGGCACACACATGAAATAATATGCAACATTTAAAAATATATTTACTCAATAACTTTCACCCATTCAGCAAATGTTTACTCTGTATCCATATGTGTTGGTGCTGAAGACAACATGGTGAGCAAATTAGACATCATCCCTGCCTTCTCAAAGCTCATAGTCTAGAAGAAAGGATAGAGAAGACAATTCTGGCACTTAGAAAAATAGGTTTGCTAAACTAGGGGGAAAAAAACAACAAAATTGCATGCACAAGGTTATTGAAACTTTGTTAAAATATATGTGTGTGGGGAAAAAATCATCATTCTTTAGGGTGATTGGATCAAAGACAGATTTTTTTCACCCTGCCTTCCATACCTTCCATAGTATTTTCTTTTTATGATAATAACAGCAGTAAAGAGCAAAGCTTCAATTGCAAAATAGCTTCTTGCCATGAAAAGGTTAGGAATGTCCATTTGAAGAGGCAGCAGGCTCCCGTACAGCAATCCAAAGGGCATGGAAAAGGCCACAACAGACAGTGAGGTAGCTGGTGCCCAGCTAAGTCATGTTGGATTATTCAGTCCATCAGCAAGTATCCACAGAGCGTCCACACGGTGACTGGTATCCCATGAGGCACTCAGAATGCGTGTTTAAGAATAGACAGTCCCTGAGCTCTAGGGGCACTTATAAGAAATTCTGATCTTCGTCTTCCTCATGCTTGCCTGGTCCTTCACACCTCACAATGTGCTACCAAGTATACACCCTCATACAACACTCACAACAAACCTGTAAAGTTGTCAGGGAGAATATAGTTATCCCCATTTGTTAGACACTAAGGCATAGAGAGCTTAATTAACTTGCGCAAGGTCACACAGATAGTAAATGACAGGCCCGGGACTTGGACCTGGCCTTCCATCACTAAGGCCAGTGCTGTTCTCAGAATCCCACAACTGCCTCAAGAAAGCTGTGACAACAGAGGGCTCAGAGCAAAGAAATAGTCAGCAGAGAGCCGTCACTAGAACTGAAGTCATGGGGATGAGAAGGCACTGCCTACCGCTTCTGGACCTTTTGGCCAAGATCAAGTGTAGGAAGCATGAGCTAGGGCAGGGGATGGGCTCCCCTCCCCTGGGGTAGTGGGGGCTGGGGGTCCAGGCAGTGAGGGGAATGGGATGCAAATACCTGGGCTCACCTCTCCTCCCTCTCCACAGATGGTGAAGGCAATCCAGGTCCTGAGAATCCACCTGCTAGAGCTGGAGAAAGTCAATGAACTCTGCAAGGACTTTTGTAACCGTTACATCACCTGCCTCAAAACCAAGATGCACAGCGATAACCTGCTCAGGAATGACCTAGGGGGGCCCTACTCCCCTAACCAGCCCTCCATCAACCTTCACTCACAGGTAACACGCAGAGCTGGGTCCCATCTCTTAAGCCAGGCTCCTAAGCCCAGCTCTGGAGCCAGGCGTGAAGGAAGGTCCCCTGGTGACCTTCATTGGGTTAGACTCACTGGGTTCCTTTGCCATGAGGGCCCTCCTCTGGTGCATTCCTCTTCATATCCATCAGGACACCCAATCCCTTTTTTACACACACTCTGCCCTGCCAGGGCATTAGTATTCCCTTGAAAATGACCAGATCGGAGAGGGATCCAAAGTCATTCCTGGCTTCCCGGCCCAAGGTATCCCCCAGAATGAGCACCAGCACTAAGGAGATGGAAACTCTCCCGGAGGATGAGCTGGGACTGGGCTCAGACATCCCAGCCCCACAAGCTTCTTAAGATGGCTTGCTGAGCCATCTGCGTTTCTGGGAATGGGCATTTGGGGAAAGCAGTCATTCCCTGAATCCTGCCCACCTAATGGGTGAAGCCAGCTTCCCATGGGCCTGCTGCTCCCTGATCATTCTCCAGGCATTCACGCTACTCTGGCATCTCTGTCCCCCTAAGGTTCAGGGCCATGGTCAATGTCACCTCAAACCACCCTGTTCCCAGGTTCCCCTGCCCCCTCCTTCCTGAGACCTGGGAAATGCAGAAATGCTGACTACACACTTTGGGCAAGAACGGGCTTTCCCCTCCAGGGCAGGATATTTTCCCCAAACCTACAAACCAAGAAAGCTGCCTGGCAATACCTTCCCACCCAACTCATGGGCATCTGCGTACGCCACAGGCTTGAGACTTTGTTTCCCTTCCACTGAGCTCCCGAGTCCTGGAAGACACCTGGAGAGTCCCCAAGGAGTCCTCCGTAGCCTCTTCTCATTAAACAGTCAGGCACGGGGATGCAGGTGAACTTTCTAGAAGTGAGTGCCGAGCGGTGCTGGAAGTAGTCCCAAAGAAAGACTGTGACATTTTTGTCCCTAAACCCCTAAGGAACCACCCATGTACTCTGTCTCCCCAGATTGGTAGAGTCAGGGGAGGGGACAGGCTGCTTCTAGAAGGCCAGCCTCGCTTTGCACATCTTGAAAACAAGCACAAAAGATACACTCGGTATCACATCCAACCCACCCCAGTGGGCTCTTTGAGACTCGGTAGTGAGTACTGCCCAGGACGTAGGGCAAGAAGTTTACTTCCTCTTCCTCTCGCTTGAAATCACCAAGTCACTTTATTACAGATCTAAAAACACCCGCCCAGGCTTCTGCCTGCTAATATTCTCTTGAAATAGACTCATTCCTTCAGAGTCTTATTGTACTTTCCCTTATGATCAAAATTAGCAAGAAACTTGCATAAAAGAGGACAATAATTGCTCAACGAGCATCTCGTTTGTAATTTATTAGTTTCTATTATTGTGGGTTACCATGGTGATGCTGCGCAGTCCCGGTGATGGGAGAGATGCAAGATAGGAGCTGAGGAGGCTGTGAGGCCTCGCCAAATGGAGATGCACATTTTTATCAGTAATTTTCATGAAAATAATAAGTGAGGAGTTAATGAGATGGAAAGCCATCCTGTGGCTATTGTGAATTTTTTTTAAGTGTTGATCTAATTAGAATGCATCGGTCAGGAAAAGTAATGAGGATTTAGTGCCTCACAGAGATGTGAGGATCATATCAGAAAATTAGCACAAGTCTTTGGAAATAATCAGGTCCTTGGAGAGGCACTGGATTTCCCCTCCTGGGCCCTCCAACTCCACCTCGGGCTCTGGAGCTGGGGGTGCACCAGGGTAGTGGGGGAAGGAAGGAGGGGCAGAGGGCTTAGCAGCCACCTCAACCCCCGCAGGGTTGGAGGTCTGAGACTGACAAGTCAGTCTGCAGAAACAGGGTCACTGGAGAAGTGGGGTTTGCAGAAAAGGATAACGTGGGCTCTGGATGGTGAAGGTCTCAGAGATGCCGTCACCTGCAAAAATCAGTCCCCCTGGGGAATCCCAGCACTCAGCCTTCTCAGCTTTGAGGAAAGGGGAAAGAATTTTGATTCCTATCACTGGACGCATCAGATCTCTGCCTGGAAGTGAAGCTGGCCCCGGGGTAGCCACTGCAGAAGGGCCCTTGATCAGCTGGGAAAGAGGAATCAGACAATTGGGCGGTGGGGGTTGGGGGATGCGAGGCACTGAGAAAGAGAAAAGACGCTTAGTGAGGTATTCCTACTTGGTATTACTCAAACTCTGTCCCCGCATTTTCTGTGACTGTCACTGCCTGCTTTGTTCTGACTTCAGGGGTAAATACAGTGATTACACATAGGCTATGGCAGGAGCTTCCTAACCTGCTCTCCTGGCCATCCCTCAGCCCACCTGCACACCCACGCATCTCTTAAGCCTCTACTGCTGGATTCGTCTTTCTACCTTTGCTCATGTCATTTGCCTGCTCAGAAACCCTGCTTGCCATGCCCCTGGGGGTGGGAGGGAGGGCCTTCACTTCTGTTCACCTGACATTCAAGGCCCTCCTAGGTCTGGCTTCAGCCTTCCTGGCTGGGCCAATCTGACTGCTCGAGGTACTGTGACCATCTTTCCATGCCTGTCTGTTTGGGTGACACCTCCCCCCCAACCCCATCATCTCCGCACAACCAAACCCAGCTTCTTCCCCATGGGTAGGAACAAGGCTGCTCACCCAGGAGGCCTCCCTGATACCCCATCCAGAACGGATGCTTCCTGCCCTCCACTAATCACGGCAGCTTGCTGAGCCATCGATACGGCAAAAGTCACTGTGACTTTATATTACAGATGCTTGTGTTCATCTCATTTTCCTATCCTAGATAACACTTTTTGAGCAGAGACAGTATTTGACATGTTTGAAATCACCAAATCACCTTATTATAGACCAAAAACAGCCATTCCCAGCCTCTGCCTACTGATAGTCTCTTGAAATAGACTCATCCCTTCAGAGTCCTAGTGTACTCTCCCTGTGACCCCAGCAGTGGCTACCACAAGGTCTTGTGCAAGATAGATGGCCAGGAATTATTTACTGAAATAAATAATGAAATGAGAGAGAGAAAGTTGGGGGGCCAGGGGCAAGGGGAAGCCAAAGGAGGAAAGGAGAAATAGGAAGAAAAATAAAGGGAAAGAAAGCCAGATATGCAGGGTCAACATTCAGGAGGGAGGTAGAGACAAGCTGAAGAATTGGAGGAAAAGAGCAACAGTTTGACAGGGAGACACACAAACCCAGGAAAAGGGAGACGAGACTGAGAATGACGGGGCAGAAGGACGGACGGAGAGGGGAACAGCAGCAAGAGTGAGAGCAAGTGAAAGGACAAGATGTGGCTCAGTATGCAGCCAGGGTACGAGGAGGCGGGAAAGTCAGTAGGATATGCTATGTGCTGCTCCTATTGTATTACTCAAACTTGGCCCTGCATTTTCTCTGACTGCCACTGCCTGCTTTGCTCAGGCTTCAGCGGTAAATGTGGTAATTGCACATAGACTATGGCGGGAGCTTCCTAACCTGCTCTCCTGCCTTCTCTGGCCATCCCTCGGCCTGCCTGCACACTCACACATCTCTTAAGCCTTCCCAGGACAGGCCCCTGTCATTGTCGCACTAAGGTAGGGGCGGGGACTTGCATGGACTCTCCCAGGAAGGAGAGGCCCAGGGCTGCTGAGAATCAGGGACCAGAGACTTTCAGTATAGGAGGCAGGTCTTGGGTTCAAGACACAGGAGCCTTTATGGGAGAGGAGAGAGAAAAGCTTGTGTGTGTGTGTGTGTGTGCGCGCACATGCGGGCACATGCATTCGTCATGGTTCACCCTTAATCCCCCTGGCCTGAAATAGCCTCACTGAGCACCAGCCTGGCCTGGGGAGGGGTATCTCCCCTCTGGAACATGATCCTCTGGATCAACATTCCAGCCGCCTGCCAGCTTTGTTGCAAACTGCTGGCTCATGGTTTTCCCTGTGTGCTAATCATCCAGCCTTGTGTTGCAAAGCGGGAGACATTTTTGTTTTCAACTTGGTACCCCCACTCCCAGATGCTATGCTGTGTCCTTCATCTAGATGGATGGGTTGAGTGTTTTCCTGCTTGGCCTTCTATTTCTCTGTGTGAGTCTTCTCTGATGGTCGGAGTGGAGGTGGGAAGTAAGGGAGACTGTCCTACCAAGCAGGAGACTAAAGCAGACTTTCAAAGACCTGGGCCACAGCTAGATTTTCCCCTCCCTAGGAACCCATCCTGTGCTGCAGGCACCCAGTGACACCCAGGCTTCCTACTCCTCAGAGCCCAGGCTTCTTGTCGGGGCAGCATCCTCTGTAAGGAGACTGGTTCTAGACCTGACTCTGGGTTCTCCTGTCCTTCCTAGAGGGCGCAAACAGAACTATTCCACCAGAGAGACCTTAACTCCCGCCTCACTCAAGTATTAGTTTGACCTGAAATTCATCCTTTTTTCTCTGTGGAGATTTAAGCCTCAGCTCGATTCCAGGCAAATTGGATTGAATCATGGTTCTCATTCAATCGCCAAGCATTTGGGGGGCACTCACTGTACGCACTGTGCTAGGTTCTGTAAGAACAGACACAAGCCCTTGTCCAAGAAGAGCTCCCAGTCTCAGGGGGAGACAGCCATGAGTCACAATGAGGATCTAGATAAATCACATCAGCCTTGAAATGCTCAGGGTCAAGAGTATAGAGGAAAGGAGCAGCCGAAGAGATAGGGAGAGGAGCTGCAAGCAGGGATTCTGGATTGGGCGATCCACACGTGTGGCTTGAGTTGCCCCAGTCTCTACCCAGCACCCTTCATCCTTTCTCAGAGAGGGACCAAGTCCCAGACTCAGCCCTCACACCTTCATGGCCACTTTGTTCCTGCTCCACAATAGGATAAACAAACCTCAGTACAGAGTAGAGAGGCCAACAGGAGGATTTTGCCCATTATTTTTGGAGAAGCTACAGATTCATTGGCCTTGGGAGGGCTTCCTGGGGGAGGTGGCATTTCAGGCTGGCTTGGCGAGAGTTGGTAGCCTATTTGGCAGCCTTTATAAAGGTGAGTGTTTCCAGTGTAGCAAGAAGTCTGGAAGAAGGCGAGAAACAAAGACAGCCAATCAGAATCCCTAGAGAAGAGATGGGGTGGAGGGCGCTCATTCATTCACGCATCCTGCATCCATTCAGGCACCTCTGGAGCCTGCTGAGTTCTGGGGATATAAAAATGGATGTGACACAGTCCCAGGTCTCCAAGTGTAATGATGGAGTACCTTGAAGTCAAACATGTGGGAGTTCTGTACTGGGGTTGATAGCGGTGGCCAACTGCTAAAGACTTTAAAGGTAGTGGAGAATGTAGGCGACAGGGTCAGGGCTGGAGACAAGTCCACTGAGTAGCCACATCTTGTATTGGTCCAAGAAGAGCTGGCAGAAGGAGCGGAGCCAGTGAACATTGATTAAGCTCCCCTCTGTCTCAAACATGGTGTGTTCTAGGTGCTTTCCACAGATTATCTAATTTACTCTCCATGACAGGCTGCAAGGTACACATGATTTTCTCCATTTTACATCCAAGGAAAGAGAATCTGAGAGAAGTGAAGAGCCTGGCTCAAAGTCATACCCCTAGCAAGTGGTGGAGTCCGGGATGGGCCACTCCAGAGCCGATGTTCTTCTTGCTACATGGGGATATGTTTTTGTGACACATGGGGAGAAGAATCAGGGGTCCTGGGACCTGGGTGGGGAGGGATGACCCTACCTAGCTATTGGTCGGGGGGTTAGGGACTACAGAGGAAGCAGCCAATTGCTAGGAAGCAAGAATTTGGATTTGCTGGTAGACTGGAAGTAGGAAAATGAGAAGGACAAAGTTGTGGCCATTCTGAGATGCTAGGCCCCGCAGCAGGATGCGACGCTGCAGCTCTGTGCCTCCCCCGCAGAATAGGAAGGGGGCTAATCAATACATCCCTACCTGGGAAGGGTGGCACTTGCCTATTGCCTCTAAGGAATTTTGGATTTTCCAGATTGGCAGGGGGCTGAGGGGATAGGGGGCCATCACCTCAGCCAGGACCCTAGAGGTTCTGCCCAGTGGCTAAGCATCCTGAGGACAGGACCCCGGAGAAGACTGGATGGAGCTGGGGTAGGGGGATGATCTGCTCTGGACAGATTACTACTTAGATGGACGGGGGCATCTCTAGACTGAAGCGGCATAAAACGAGCCACACTGCCGGTCACAGGCATTAAAGTTGTCTCTTCTGTGGGTTCCTCACCCCCAGCCCGGCAGCCGTGGAGCCCGGAGACCAGAGGGCGGCCCTTGCCGCCAGGCTAGTGAAACCTGAGCACTTCTCCCGCCTGAGAAGGAATGTTCCTTAAGAGCAGCAGCTGCTGCTTGTCCCCACAGGCCAGAACTGCCTTTCCCTTGAGACCAAGGCCCCCAACAGGAGTGGAACAAGAACAGGATTAGGCGGCTTGTTTACATGTGCTCGGCTTTCCCGAGTTTGGGACTCTGGCTTTTCTTGGTCTAAAACAGGGCCCTGGCTCTGCCAGAATGGGGATGCTGCCGGGAAGGGGTGTCTGGGGACAGGGACACCCTCCTAAGGCACATTTGCGCAGGCACACACACACACACACACCCCCCACAGGAATACACCCACAGCCTTAGGCCAAAGTCAGGCCACACATGTATCTAGCATCTACCATGCAGTTAATTAACATTGTGCTAAGCAGTTCCGGGAATTCAGAGAAAGACCCCTCTTTCCCTCAAGAAGCCTGCAGCCAAGCTAGGGAAAGACGACGCCTGCGTAACAGAGAACCATTCTGTGGTGTCCAGTATGTAAGGCAGATGGGAGGCTTTGAAGAGTCCAGAGGACGGCTTGTGGCTGTGCCCTGGGGAGGTCAGGACAAGCTTTCTAGCAGAAGGGAGACATTCAGAACCGACCTCCACCCGCCCCCAGCCCCGGCAGGGGAGCCGCCAGCGCGGGCCTTCTGGGAGGCTTTGGTGAGTGTGGTCTGAGCCGGTGGATCAGCGGAGACCCCTAGTGGCCAGGGGGAGGATGGCAGGTGGCTGGGTCTGGCTCCACAGGGCACCCCACTCCAGCCACCGCCTCACCCTTACCCACCCTCCCACACAATCCTTAGGAAATGGCATTGGCTCTTTAACAGTCCTCAGCTGGAAGGATCTTTGCCAGGCCACCCAGTTCATTCCCTTGTCTCACAGGTATCCAAGTAAGATAAAAATTCCATCTATTTCAAAACAGCTTAAACAGAAACTTTTCTGTCATTTATTTCCTTCACTCCTTCAAGTATTTGTCCCATTCTGGTTTCTTCCAGGAATTCCTTCCTTGAGTGGAAATGAAGTCTTCCTTGAGTCTCCCAGGGCAGCTCAAGCCCTTTCCCTATTGACAGTGAAGCACAGTGGCCCACAGAAACCGACAGCTCTTCCTGGGCTGACGTCAGACCACTGTCCATTCTGGGCCCCTGCACCCCCCGCTTCCAAAAGTCGTTCCACAGCCTCTCATCATTTCTTAGTAAGGCCTTCCTTTGGAACAAGTCATCTTTCTGCTGTTCCGAATGCAATTTGGAGTAAAACTCCCCCGATAACCACTGAGGTCTGTAAAGAATGAGTGGCGGCCGCAGCTCCAGGGTGTTGCAGCTGCCCAGAGGATGGTGCTCAGGAGGCACCAGTTCTCTGCCATTCCAAACTCTGCCATTCCAAACCCAAAGCCCTGCCTTGCTCTGCCCCTCCTGAGAGGCTCTTTGCTTCTGAGTTTCAATCCACAGAGCACAAGGAACAAGAGTAGGGCCGCTTCCGGGGGTGCCCGTGGAGCCCAGCGTGTTGGTTTTCATCTGATTCCCGGGCTTCAGGCAGTTCCCAGAGGCTTGGGGACACCACGGCTGTGTTCCTAGCAGAACAAAACAAACAGAGTTCTTGGGCTGAGTAACCAGCTCTCATCCCCAGGTTCCTGGACAATTCCAGCAGGGATGGGAGGCTCTGGGTGCTGAAAAACATAACTAGAACTGTACCAAACGCTCCTCTCACCTCCATCTGGGTGCTAAGGAGCCTAGAGGGGAGCAACTCTGTTTGCTTCTAGACACAGTGGCATCTACCTGGGTTTGGAGTCTGATGAACCCCGAGGGGAAGCTGTCAAAAAGCTAACAATACTGTGTACTTAGCCAACATGTGCTCCCTACAGGGTTTCCACTGCTGCTCTGGAAGTTCCTTCCTCAGAAAAGAGAGTCAGAGCCCCTTGTCTCCATTCTATGGTGCTAGAGACTAAGCCTCAACTGGAAATCGCAGCCAAGTGGAGTTGTGGGGCTAGTCAGAGACAACGCTTAGGATCCTGGAACTCGGCCATTGCCCGGGAACATCAGACAGGGAAGCATGTAACAAGGTTTACACAACTCTGCCTGCGTGCACAACCCCAGCTGAACTCCTTCCATTGCTAAGTAAAGAACTCAAGTGGCTTGAGGGCTTCTAGGACAGGTTTTTAAATCCCAACTGTGCCACTCCCTAGTTGAGTGACCTTAGCCAAGGGAAGTGGGAAATAAATTATTGGATGGCTAAATGTGCCAGGCACTGTGCTTGCATTGGAGCCTGTCTGACCCCGAAGCACATATCCTCTCTGTGTGAGCACTCGTCCTGCACTCAGAGCCAGAGGCCTTAGGCTGGAGGCACAGTTATTTGACTCTGGGAAGTCACTTCCATTCTCTCTGGGCCTCAGTCTCTCTTCAGGCAAATAGGACAGTCTGTCCTGCTGATCCTATGGGGTGATGGTGACATTAAAATGGAATAGCGTGGGGGAAGAATGCTCTCTAATACTCAGTGTGTATGGTAAGTGGTCGTTTTCAGACCCATCTGATCTTTGGGACCATCACAAGGAGGTTTTTAAAAATATAGATTACTAGATGGGTGAGGGTCTGATCCAGTGGCCCTGAGAATCTGTGTCCAAAAAAAAAAAAAAAAAAAAAAAAAAAAACACGCTCAAGGCTGGTTTGTGGAGCAGCTCATGTTTACAGACGTAAGGGATGAATATCATTTCCCCAGACCTCCGGGATGCCAAAATTTTGCTTCCTCTTCCCTGCCCCACGTAAGACGTTGCCAGTCCTAGCCCTGCCCTTGGACTCTGTCTCTGAAGGTTTTTATTTTATTCCTTCACTGATAGACTCTGGCTGCCTCTCAGCACCTACCAGCCAAAGACCCAGAGAAGGGAGAGAAGGGTAGGAAAGAGAAGGCTCTGATCCAATGCGTAAATTGCCTTTAGTTACCCAAACTGGGTAAATTGGCATGGAGGGAATCCAAGCCACAAGGTGGAGAAGCAGCCAGGGTCTGAGTAAGCAGACGAAGCATCCAGGTGGTGGCTCACCCTCTGCCTTTGGCTAGGGAACAATGTGTGTTGGTTGAATCCCAAGGGGCACATCTTGTATTTATTTTACTGACTTTGCTTGTATTTTTCTAACCTTGTTGGGTACTTTTTTGGGGATGAAGAAAGTCTGGGATAACTTTTTATGTTTGAAATTCTCAAATATCCCTACCAAAAGAGGCACATGCTAGCATGGATGATTCCAAACAAGGGATTATTGAGAAGTCACTTCCACTGGTTTTAAGGTGAATGGCGTGGAGGTACCCACTCTCCCATTAAATTCACCTTCAAGCCTGGTGTGGTGGCTCACGCCTGTCATCCCAATGACTCAGGAGGCTCAGCTGGGAGGATTACATGACCCCAGAAGTTTGAGACAAGCCTGGGCAACATAGCAAGACTCTCTACCCTGTCTCAAAAAAATTTTAAAAATAAAGTAAATTTACCTTCCGAGTTTGCTTCAGCTTCAAATATATTATCAGCACTGGTTTACATACCATGAGAATGGTAGGCTGGGATGTTGGAACAAGGAGAACTCAAACTCACAGCAGTCTCATCGCTGAAAACTCAGGCCTTGAGGGTCCAGGTGTCACATGCACTGTATACATAAGGAGATGAGGCCCGCGGAGGGGTGGTGACGTGATTGCCTTTCCTCCAGTGCCCGCGCTGCTTCTGGACTTCCGGGTTTTCGTTGTTTTTATCTGTTCACCTTGCCTGCAGTGATGATTGGTTAACCTGCAGGATTCAAGGAGCATTTGCAGTCCAGAACCTGTGTAGGGGGCATTTGTGGGTGAAGGAGAGCTGTGTTCTAGTCCTCTGGCTGCTAACCAGCTGTGTGGCCTTGGGAAGTCCCGGGCATCTCTAAACCTTATTTGTACTTCAGGGAGGGGAAATGTGTGGCTTTGAGGGGCTCTTCCAGTTTCTAGGCTTCTGCATGGCAGACTCCATTTTAGACTGCAGCTGCAGGAACGGAAGGCCAAGAGCTCTGCTCAAAGTATAAACCTCACGGGCTAGGAGGCTCCCACGGGGCCCCAGGAAGGGGAAGCCAAGGCAAGAGCTGCTCCCTCTGTTCCCCAAGGTCACAGCAGCAGAGGTGAGCTCAGAATAGAAGCAAGGCCTCCATCGCCCCACCCACCCAGAGAAGCCAGACCAGGAGGCCCGTGCGGCAGGTGGTTGGGAGGAGGGCGTGCTTGGCTCCTCTCCTCCTGGCGCTGCTTATTTATAGGCAATACTCCTCCAGCTCTTGGGCCAGAGACAACCCGGGAGAGTAAAAAAGGCAGCTCTGGAGGAGACGCCAAGGGGGATTTAATCAGCTGAATCGAGTGAGATGTATAAATCAGTGCCGACTTCCACTTCCTGACAGGCTCTGCCAGTTTCTGTGTCGTCAGGGTCTGGGAGGAGATTCGCCATGGCTGTCCCCCAGGGCTGTAACACTTTGCCTTTGTCTCTTGCTACAGGTAGGCAGTCACTGGCTCGAGGTTTCCTCCAAACACAGATTTCTGGGCTCAAAACCCTAGACTTGCTCTGGAGGCTGGAGACCTAAGCTTCTTCAAGTCCTAAAACAAAAACTGGGAAGCTGGGGACCTCCTTTTTTCCCCCATTTTGTCTATTTCCTTGACCATTTACCTGTCTCTAGATCCTTGCAGTTCACGCCTTATGATTCCAGCATTTGAGCATGGGAATGTCACCTAAATGGCCATTGAACCTGTTAACTGGTTCACGCCCGTCTTCAGATGAGGAACCATGGCTAGGAGGAGCTAAGAGACCCAGGCCAGCCTCCTGAGGCTCCCACACTTCACTCGCTGCCTTTTTTGTCTTCTCCAAACCTAGAGCCCCTAACCTCTCCCACATCCTATTCCTTCCTCACAAATTCTCTCCAAGCACCCAGCCTCCCAACACAGGCTCCCTAGAAGGCAGGGAGGGCTCCACAGCAAGTCCAAGGACTTCTTTACCCAGCTGTTAACTGGGAATGGTGAGGGGAGCAGAGGGCCAGGAAAACATGTCTTAGCTGCCTGGGCTAATGCAAAGAAACGTGGCAAGGGTTCCGTGCTGGTTGGCAGTGTGGGGAGAGGGGAATCTGTTTCCAGTGGAATCCTGTGGGGATCCTGAGGAAGAGAACAGAATCGATGCCATATGCCATAGGTGGCTGAGGTTCATATGAGACACCCTTAGGAGACAGCTTATGGGAAGGCTAGGGCAGCTTTCACTTGCTTTCTTAACATGGATTTTAGTCTCCTGGGCTAGGTGCTAAGGATACAAAGGTGAGAACTGGAGGCTGCTCTGTGTGTGCAGCCTAGTGTGATGGGCCTGTGATGGAGGGTGTGTGGAGAGGAGCCGGGGGATGGGAAAGCATCAGGAGACAAGCGTGGCTGAAGGAGGAGCAGGTGCTGACCAGGTGAAGCCAGTTTCTCAGTCCCGGCTGCACAGTGGAATCACCTGGGGAGCTTTTAATAACCCAGAGCCCATTGAATGTGATGGATCTGATCAAGAAAAAAAAAATCCAGAGCCTAGGACACACTCCTAACCAATTAAATGAGACTCTGAGATTGGAACCCAAGCATCGTTACTGGAGATTTCTAAGTATAGCCAAGGAGGAGACCATGGGTTATCAGATAATTTGTGCCTTAGGTTTTCAGGGCAATGGAATGGTTAAAAGGGTGACTCTTTTGGGTTTCTTTTTTTTTTTTTTTTTAATTGAGCCCTCTTATTCACTCTTTCTAGGAAACCATGAGAATTGCCTTCTGGACCTGGGTCTGGGGAGGAGCTACAAGGAGGGAGGGGGCAGGCAGGAAGGGGAAAGGACAGAAGAGGACTCTGGGGCTGTAGGGTCTAAGCTCTCAGTGACATTGTCACAAACCACGCCTCCCTCACTGCCAGGACCTCCTGCAGAATTCCCCCAATTCCATGTCTGGAGTCTCCAATAACCCCCAGGGAATTGTGGTCCCAGCCTCAGCGCTCCAGCAGGGCAACATCGCCATGACAACCGTCAACTCACAAGTCGTGTCAGGTCGGTGCAAAGACCGGGAAGGGGGATTGTGGGAATTCCCCGGGAGGAGAAAGGGTGGTCCCGAGGCGGTTCCAGGGGTGGGGGTTGGGGGTTGTCCCCCACCGAGGGAGGGGCTCCCAGCTCAGTTTCTTGACTAAAGTTTTCTGTAAGTTTGTAGACAGTTAGCACCAAGACCCAATTGTGATGGTTTAGAACAAATCTGGGTCAAAATCTCATGAGCCCCTGAGAGGACCAAGTAAGGCTGTTGTCCCTTCCCTGAAGCACCTCCCACCAAAGGCTCTGCCCTAGGCTGTAGACACCATCCCCCAGCCACCCATAAAGCAGAAGAGCCATAGCTCGCTACCCAAGGGCTCCAAAGTAGAGGGTCTTTACACGTGAGTGCCAAGTGAACTGGGAACCCTGCTTGCCCTTGCTCCTACCCACTCCCATGGCAGGGGACCCCAAAACTGGTTGTCTCCTCAGGTGGAGCCTTATACCAACCGGTTACCATGGTAACCTCCCAGGGTCAGGTGGTCACCCAAGCAATCCCCCAGGGAGCCATCCAGATCCAGAACACACAGGTGAGTGTGTGTAGGTGTGTGCACATGTGCATGGTGTGGGCTAGGGCACCTGTGATCGCTTCTTATCTGCCAGGCACTTTACACGAGTGACTCACTGAATCCTCATCATCCTCTAAGAGGTATCATTACTCCTACTTTACAGATAAGAAGCTGGGTCTTGGAAAGGTTTTATCAACTCCTGGGATTTTGCTGCCTCCCTCCTGGGGTTACATCAAAGGATCCTGCACTTCCTATTCCTGTCTGCAGACTGAGCCGCTGTGTCCCTCAGTGGTAGAGAGTGCACACACAAAGGAAGAGTAGAAAGATCGGAAGTCAGAGTCTGGGATCTGACATTAACTCTGGGATCTCGGATAAGTCACCTAACCTCTCTGAGCCTCAGACTTCTTATTGATAAAAGGGGGATTAATAGCAACTGCACACAGCCTAGCCAACCTACAGGGCTGCTGTGAGAATGAACCACGGTGATGGATAGGAAAGTGCTTTGCAAACTGTAAAGTACCACAGAAATGCTGATAACTACTTGACGGCTTATGGCAAATTCATATCTTCTACTGTTCTCTCTGCATGGCCCTGTTTCCTCTGTCTTTCTCTCTCTCTCTCTCTCACTCTCTCTCTCACTCTCTCCCTCCCTCTCCCCCTGCCCCATCTCTTCCTCCTTGTCCTTCTTCCCTTCTCCCATCACCTGAGCCTCACCTCCACTCTCTGAGGGGCTGGCATGGGGTGAGAGGGAAAGGCGACCTCCCCAGGGCCCTAGGAGTGAGCCGGGAAAGGGGCTGGCAGCCGAGCCTGCCATCGCTATGGCAACAGGTCCCTAGCCGCTGGCCTCACAGGCTGCTGATGCTGATTTTCTCTCCACGTGCCCTGAAGGTTAACCTTGACCTCACCTCCCTCCTGGACAATGAGGATAAGAAGTCCAAGAACAAACGAGGAGTCTTGCCCAAGCATGCCACCAATATAATGCGTTCTTGGCTCTTCCAGCATCTCATGGTGAGTGTGTGTGTCCTGGGGGTGTGGAGTCACGGCATGGGGTATGAATAACCCACCACGTGGGTACCAGACTCTGCTGTCAGCTCCAAACCCACAGACAGAGGGCGTGGCCTCAGGGAGCGCTCTCTGATAGGGATGACATCTGGAGGCCAGGCCGGGGGGCTCAGGTGGGACCTAAAGCTGGGAGACTATCTCTAGTACCTGCTACTGTTGCTGTCTGGAAAAAATGTGGCAACACATGGGGTAATGGGGACAAGCGCATGCCGAAGAGTCAAGTACTGGGCAGATGTGTCACACTGTTTCATGAACAGAGAGAGGGTCGTCGTGGGGAGTGGGTGGTTTCTGGACCAGAGCCCTCCCCCTGCCACAGCCACGCTCACTGTGCCCGTCTCCCATGGGAGAACGTGTTGACTCTGCCAGGACTCCTGAGTCCTCCCCGCTGGGTGAGCCAAGCGTTGTGTGGTAGAGATGGGGGCCAAGGCTGGAATCCTGGCTCCTCACGTCACAGCTCAGTTCCAGGACACAGCACTATTTATTTCATAAGCCTCAGCAGCTCCTTTTATAAAATGGCCCACTCTCTTGGGTTACAGTGGAGTGTTGATACAGTGCACACTGTGTGATGGTTGCTGTGTGGCTGTGTGCAGCGTTAGTTGCAAAAGACAAGCCTTTGGTGGAATGTCAGGAAAGGCTTCATAATTGCAATCCCCTAACACCACTTCCAAGGGCTGTGGCCGTAAATAAAGGCCAATGACTGTGCCGAGGGTGTATACCCTGGTGTGTGTGTGTTCTGGGGTGGGGAGGTAGGTGCTGTGACCACAGGCTGGCTTCCATTAATCTGTGAGCTCCTGCCCTGGCATGTCAGGACAGACAGACAGACACAGGTACAAGACAAATTCCAAGGGACTGAGGATCCATTGGCTGGAGAACTATGGGAAAAAACAGGAGGAAGAGGAAATCCTTCTCCAGGGAGGAGAAAAATCAAATGGGCCATGGAAACTAGTGAGTCCGTCAGCAGCCCTTTATCTGAAATGGGAGAGCCTTCAGAAGCCATGGAGACTAGGCCTCAGTGGTTCTCAGACTTTAGTGGCAGCAGAAGACTGACTGGGTCTTGGGAGCTCTGATTTGGAAGTGCTGGACCTTCCTGTGCACCCAGGAGGCTGGAAGAATCACCTCCTAGCAAGCGATGAGAGCCGGAGCTCGGCATCTCCCCAGAAGTATCCCCTCGCCTCTGGGGGTGTGGGGCTACCCCAGTGGTTTGCTGAGTGAGTACATTTTGAAAGCACTCACTGGTTTGAAGACCTACAGTTTCCAGATGAGAAAGCTAATTTGGAGAGGAGGGGCTGGAATGCTGGAGTTAAGGTGAGGAGAGGACGCTGGAGGGACTCCTGTGCCTACGTGATGAGGCCAGAGGCCCCGCAGCAGGTCCAGCCTCAGGTCTCTATGGAGCAGCTCTGAGTCAGTGGCTGGAGTGCACAGGGGGAATGCCCAGGTCTCCTGCCTTTCTGGTTTTCCAAACTGCCCGAGAGCCAGGGGGCTCAGATGGACTCAGTGGCTTGTGGGTCCAGTGTCCATGCCACAGCTCCCAGCCTACCTGTGGGAGGAGGGGCTCCCTAGGGAAGGACGCATCTTCTGTGTGCTGACCTGGCACAACCGAGATTAAAGCACCACCCTCTCCCAACGGCTAGTGGAGCTAACTCTGGCTCCACTCATTGTGGTGGGTGACGTACAATGCAGGGTCACAGGTGTGCTAGAAAGCTTATGGGCTTTTGAGGCAGCTGAACCTGGGTTCAAATCTCAGTTACCTTTTACCCTGCAACTTGGCCACACTCGCCTCTTAGGAAGACTGTGATGAAGTAATGAAAGATTGCCAGGACCCTGGCACACTGAGTTGCTTAAAAAATGCTCCCTTTCCTTCCCCACCTCCCACCCCCATGCATTTTTGAAGACTGTTGTGAACATACCTACAACCTCACTTCTGAAGGGGGAAAAAGGCAAGAGGAGAGAGGAAGCTGCAAGGCAGATTCCCCAGCCCAGGAGCCCAGGCGTCCAGGTCAGCACCTGCTCAGTGACGCCCACCCCCCATCTGTGGCCTTCCCCTTCACTACCTTCCATTCCCCACTTGCCGCTCACCCCTGGGAGTCATTAGCCTGAGACTGGAGGGTCACCCATCTTTGTCCCTCCTGGCCGTGCCTGGCCTCTCACCTGGGACCTCAGTTCATGCTCCGCCCTCTCACCCCCTTCCTCGTGAGCTTCCCTGCAGATCTCGGGGTCCTGTCTTTCCACTCCATGGTCACTTGCACCCAGACTTGGGAAGGCAGAGGAAGGGGAGGTGAAGAGAGGAGGTAGTAGCTGAGCACAGAGCAAGGCAGGCCCAGGCTGGCCCTACAGAAAGCACCAGGGATGGGGTAGAGGACTTGCCGGAGGGCATGAGGAGGGGCTTTCTGCCCACACTTTGCCACCCACCCCTGTTGCCTTCTCTGGCCTGGCAGTGTGTACAGGTGCAGGTGCCATTCATGACATGCTTAACATTGGCAGAGTCCTCCCCCAGTTCGTCACAGTGGCCTCTAGAGAGGCAAGGGGAGTGGCCACTGGGCCTCTAAAGTCAGAGCTCAGAACTTTGGGACTGAGGAGGAGAAAGAGAATGAGAAGTCCAGGCTGCTCTAGGGAAACAAGCAGACCCAGCTGTCCTTGGCAGGCCACGCCTGGGCCACACAGCCATGCACATGCGGCCACAGCCTCACCAAACCCCAGCTGCTTCAGGAAAGAGGTTATACAGGCTCTTCCTAACTAGGCACAGTAGAAAGAAGACAGGATTTGAAACCAGACAGATCGAGGTATGAATTGAGGCTCTCCCACCAGCAGCGTGATTACCCTGATTCTATTTCTTGGGAAAAAAAGAAGAAGAAGATAATACTTATTTCCCATGGTTGTGAAAATTCAATGAGAAAACATATATAAAGAGCCAGGCCTAGCATATAGCACTTAAGAAGTAAGTTCCCTTTGAATTTTTTAGAACAATGGACCGAGAGCAAGTTTTGGAGGCTGAAGACCCAAAATTTGTGAATATTAATCAGAGGTAGATGGCTGATTTGTTGTTTTCATCTATAACACCTACTGATTTTACTCTCATTGACCCTAAGGGTGACTGACAATACTGTGACTTACCCGTTCTTTGTGTAGATGTGTGTGCCTCTCTTGTATCTCTGACTCTGTCATAAATTTCTCAAAAATAAGGATCATACATTATATTCCTCTATGAGCCCTACAGCATTGATTCCCAAGGTATGAAGCTTTACAGGATTTATGAGGTCTCGCGCCCCAAAAGAGGTTCCATGGTGAAATAACTTTGGGCCAATCTGAGTTATAGAAAGTTTAGACTTTTTTTTTTTTTTTTTCATGGTAGGGTACAGAGTCTCACTCTGTTGCCCAGGCTGGAGTGCAATGGCACGATCTCGGCTCACTGCAACCCTCACCTCCCAGGTTCAAGCGATTCTCCTGCCTCAGCTTCCCGGGTAGCTGGGATTATAGGCACCCACCACCACGCTTGGCTAATTTTCATATTTTTAGTAGAAGTGGGGTTTTACCATGTTGGCCAGGCTGGTCTCGAACTCAACCTCAAGGGATCTGCCCACCTTGGCCTCCATAGTGTATTCTGTTTATTCTTACAGGACGAAGGGGCATGGTGAATTTGCAAGAGGGGTAAGGTTCGAAGCGTCTCCCAAACTTACGTGAGCGCTTTACATCCCCGCTTTGTGTTTTCACTGTTGCTCTGAGGAACAACTCTGAGACTGTAATTCTTGAAAAATGCAACTCTAGGGAGACACTGTGTCAGGTCAATAGGAGCTGCTCAGCTTTGGGAAAGAAGAGCAGAAAGGGTAAGAAGTAAGGACAGACCTAAATATGCCATTGATGTTCTCACATCCAGTGCAGTTGGGACAACTAATCTGTGGTTGATTGAAAAACTTAGTTTAAAAAAGAAACAACCATTCCAAAGAGATACTTTAATTTAAAAGATGGACTTATCGTATACATTCATTTGCTAATCTTTTGATACAGGACTAAGGTCTTTTTCTGATTGTAAGTCATCTTCCTTGCATAAACCTCTCCTATAATGTAACATCTATAAATTCCACCTCAATGGAAAGTGGAATTACAACTTTGATATTTGGGAACCAATCTGTCCGCGAGATCTTTCCATATTTTTATTATGTATTCCAATCCTTTATGTTTGTCTCATCTGATCCTAACTATTCAGCATTTGTAAGCAAATTTGGGCCTCAAGACTTTTGAAAACTTTCTACTTATCAACAGCGACTCTTTTTGTACTCATATTTCATTGGTTTACAGAAGAGTTTGTTAAATTACAGAAATTTACATACTTTATTAATAATAACATAGAACTGGCATAAACCAGTCTGGATACGAGCACTGCTGGCTTTCAGATAAGCAGATAGTGTAGCTAACAGACATTCTACAAAACAGCTTTCTCATCTCAAGCATTCAGAGTGCTGCAGAGAACAATTCTAACGATTTACAGAAGAAATGGACATGCCATCAATTAATCCGGAAACTTTGCTAAATAGGGATTGGTTGTGAGAATGTCTGTAGTAAATACTGGTTGTTTCTGTTGTCTTCTTTCCCTGGGGTATAAGTCTGTATTCTTTGGTTCCCTTTGTCCTATGTCTGGGGCTTCTTGTCATTTCTACTGTTCAGCCACAAAAAAGTATTCAGATGATAGAAGGCTCCTGAGATGGAGGTGAAATCCCAGAGCCTTTTTGCTGTTAGGCTGCAGTGAGATTGGGATGGTCTCATCCATTAGCTGTTCGCCTCTACGTCCCTGAAGAATCCAGTGACATTTTCTTGCTCTTGCATTTGGCTGAAAGAGGCTACACTCCTGCTGGAAGCAATCATTCCATAGCAGACTCAGGTCGGTTGAGAGCCCATGGCAGACAGTCCTTCTCTTGGAGGGTGGAGAGGTAGGTACTGTTCCTCCTCCCCAG